CGCCGAAAAATTGAAGCGGACGCCTTCTTTTGCGGGCCATTTCCCGTGGGCGGCGGGCCTCTTTCCCGGGGCGGCGGGCCACTTCTCAGGGGCGGCGGCCCACTACGTCCAGAGGGTGAATTTTCGAGAATTTGCGTCGCGGACTTCGCCCCAGGCGTGCGTTTTATCGGTGAGCAAACGGTAAACTCGTCATTCTCGTAGCGAAGAGTGGAAAACCTTCGATCGAAACGTTGAACCCTGACGCATTGTAATAGTTATTCGAAAAAATTGTAACAATGTGTGCGCAAACGCCGTTCACCTGGCGGACGTCTTTTTCTGCGGCCCCGCGTGGACATGACAGTGAGACGCGCGTTAATGTAAAACGCGGCCAGGGCCGTACTCGTCGGCTTTCGCGCGGCTACTCTTCCCCCACCCCGACGGCCCGAGAGAGACAAACAATAATGGGTAGTATCCCAATGTTTTCGGAGAACAGGCGAAGTCTAGCAAAAGTTAGTGACAACTAACAGGAAATAACATAATCATAAATGATAATAATAATAATATAATATAATCATAATAATCATTTATGACTTTCTCCAAAACTTTAGATAAGGTTGGAAAAATACTGATCAGACGCAATTATGAAAACTGGCTAGAATTGTTATTTTTTGCCAATGGTGCGATGAAAGCCAACTTTCAAATACTAGGAAAATGGCGCGGTAATATGGATGGTCATCTGAAGCATTGTAGCAGGTACACAATCAACACCAGCAGAATTTGACTTAAATTTTGAAATAATGGTTTTAATTGAGTCAATAGTTGCGAATTTAAATGCAAATGATATATTCGAGTTGAACTTGATATTTTTATACAAAGAAGTGGTTTCGGGGCAATTGTTAATATTGCTAAGAACAGAAGTAAAATAATGATTAATATCACTGGGATTTTTTAAGTTAGGTGGTATTTTCCAAAGTCCTTTACGCTGAAGCTAAGATCTTCAGAAACGATGTTACAAAGTGTTTTAAAAAAACTGTTTATACTTATTGTTCGTGACATTCTGTGGTAATTCCAGTCAACACTGTTAGGTGTGTGTCTAAGTCAATGCGTAGCCTCACCTATTCTCACCATTTTACTTTTTACTTAATTTAACGTCAAACGTAAAAATTATAATCTACTAGAACAAATATTAAAACAAAATCAGTCGCCTATTTAAAATTGTTCTAGTTTCCTCCTGTGTTGGTTGTTGATAAATCCAACCGACGTTTCGTCAATCATCCTCTTGGATTCTCCAGAGCTTAACTGACATTGGTTTGCACTCTACTCTGTACGTGCTGTACTGTAGCAGCTGATTACATGCAAAAGCTTTACTTTGGTTAGTTTTTATTATTTTGATCGTGTTCTTTCATAATCCTTTAACCTAGTTGATGTTTTTCGCTTTGCTTCTCCAAGGTGTTGAGAAATCTTTGGACAATTAATAAATCTGGTTAGTTAACATTATATTTCTAAATATTTGATAGGCTGTCAGTGATGTTTTCAATGTAAGAAGAGCCACGGTGGCAAGTGTGTGGTTGCTTTCGATGGAACGCTCAGTATCGCTGATGTGAAAATTATTAGAGAGAGAGTAAGTTGTTTTAGTTGTGGGTTCAGTGACTCGGACTGAGATATTTTTGCGGCTCTGTAAACAAGAGAGTTGAGCCGGATGGTGATGTGACACTGCATTAAGGTATCGGTTTGTGTTCGTGGATTTAATGTAAACTGAATGACCCAACGCTAAGTCTCATTTTCCGCGTACCAGGAAAACGAACATTAGTAAAGAAAATGCAGGAGGAATCCACAAGAATTGTAAATAGTATTATAGTAGCCTGTGGAAGTTTTGACATCTGTCTAGTGCTGTGGGAAAAATTTGAAAGATGTTAATATTTATTTCCCTGATAATGTTTTCTACATCACCCAAGGAGAGAAGTGGAGGTTGACGATCTCTAAGCTACCTAACCAATTTACCGTGTTAAAGATAAGACATGCACTGCGCCAAGACAACTCCGAGATCTCAATATTCGCCTTATTTAAATAATATTGTATTCTTCTTGCAGTATAGAATATGGAATATTAAAATTCCTTTTGTAAGCTTGCGAATTATAAGTTTGACACAAAATTCCGTATTTCATTTAATAACTCATCTATAGAGGTAAATAAAAAACAGAACTATACACGCCTAAAACTTAAATTTCATTAAAATTGTTTTATCTAAGGTACAATTTAAAAATATATAATATATCCAAATCGAGTCAGCAGTTCGCGAGAAAATTAACATTGAAGGTTAATCCAAATTTTACCGGTTTTGTTTGTTTTAAATTCCACCCCGTATATTTTTTGGGCAGTGCAAAACGATTTTTCTCCTCTCAATTCGTTATCTAAAGTTTACTTTTAATTTTGGCTTACATAAAACCAAAATAAGTAAATAAATAAAAAAGAATTTAGAATTGGATAAATACAAAGTCTAATGAAAATTAAAAAAAAATCATGTTAACTTATGGACCCAAAAGAATATATACTAGAAAGAAAAAATTTGTGGTTGCGCGTTATATAAATACCAAATAAATAATTTACACCACCAGTAAAAAAAGTGACACTTAAAATACTTATCATTATGTAAATCTAGATACTTAAAATACTAAAATAAAGAGAGACTTAATTAATTCCCCAACTGTTAAAAATGATCACCGTCGATTTAAATAGTTATTATTTAAAAAATTAACTGTTCCGATTTGCATATCGATCCAAACGAACCTTATGGAAATTACTACCGATTTGATTTTTTGTTGTTTTAAGAAAAATTTACAAATTCCGCGTCATGCCGCCTCCGGCCCTTATCTAGAACTAGATAAAACCCGAAAAAGTTCTGATGATGCAGCTGATGTGGATTTTGTGAGGCAAATATTTCAGAGTGAAAAGAGTAATAATGATTCTGATTTTGTAGTTTCTCAATTTATTCTTTTCTTCCTGGAACTACTTAATTGCAATATATTTTAACTACTTTTGACGTTAGCATTCTGGTATATGTAGAATACCTATTAATAATTTCATAATTATATTAGTTATAGGTGCAATAATGTATATGACACAAGAAAGTGGGAACACTCTACAACTTTTAAACGGCTCGAGATAGCGGAAATTTGGAAGGGTTAATATAGGCTGAATGTCCAATATCTTGACAATATGTAGGTCTGAGGGGAAACGACCGTAACTTTCGAATTTTATTATATTTTTTTACATTTTTGAATTCAGGAGATCATTCTACGTTTTCTCATTTTTTTTTTATTCTTTAAATTTTTCATTAATTTTTGAATATTGTGTCTAGGAGGCTGTGCGATATTTCTATTCTCTTTTTCTTCCGAGTTTCCGCTAAAAAGTGCCTGCAGTTTATGACGTACGTATAGATAGATAGGTAGACCATTTATTCACAAAACCCATTACAATGGATCTTTCGTAAAAAAAAAATAACATGAAAATGTTTTAAAATAGATGAAATAGAAAATGTGTATGCCCTACAATAAAGTTATACACATACACAAACAACAGAAATACATCAATATAACGTTACAAACATTTGTTTAGAACATGCGCTTCGAATTCACTTGGGCTATAAAAAGCATTGGTTGTCAGAAGCTCGACGGGAGCACTTTTACAATAGTATGGCCCTGCATAGCCTAAAGATCTTCTACAAAATATTTAGGCTTTAAGAGATTTTCTCTGTTACGAATGTAGTGACAAGACTGCCTCGGAGAAAGTTTAAAAATTAGCCTAAGTATTCTTTTCTGCTGTACAAACACCCTTTCAGCATCACTAGCTTGCCCCCAATCGTAAGAAATTGAGGAGTATGCCGAAGCATAATAAAAGAATGTTTTATTTAGTTTGCTACAAACACTATTTATGTCTTGATCCCACCTCAATGATGCATCAATGTAGGAGCCAAGAAATCTTGTGCTCTGACTTTTTTCTAAGGATGTTCCAGGAAAACTAACCAAAACTAAAGGAAGGATAATGTACTGGGCAAACTAACCAACCGCAACTGTTTTCTCTAAATTTATGATTAGATGATTTTACTTGCAAAATTTATTAAACTGTTCAACAGCAACAGAGACATTATTTATCAGCTCCTGTGCGTCATTCCCGGAAACCAACGCGGACGTGTCGTCCGCGTACATGAAAACTAGGCAGTTACTGTTAAAGTTTTCAGGTAAATCGTTCACGCTTAACTGAAACTGTCAAGTCTGAAGAAGCTCTGAGGAAGCCAACAGGATGATTGGCGAAACATCAGCAATTTGAACTAAGCAAAAACCGACGCAGGGGGAATCCAGAAGTTTTGTAAAAAGCATTACAGTAGCCTGTGGAAGTTTCTTTGAAAAATATACATACAGTACTTACGTTACTTTTTGGCTGTATCCCCGTATTCCAAAAGCATATCAACCTTTTACCATAATAAAATACTTTGAACCAAAAATTCTAATCGTTAAATCCCAGAAGACACTCTTCCTTGAATTTTTTTTGTAAAGTTCTAATCTGTTTTTTTCTTTTCACTGCATGCGCTTGTCGAGAGTTTTTGCTGCGTTTTTCATATTACCGACTTGACAACTAATAATGAATAGAAGCAAAGCCACCTAAGTAATGTTTTATTTTTATAAAAATGTATTCACTTATCTGGTTTTTTCCTTCCTGCGAGCTTATTTTTTAGCGGATTTTGAAAATTTTGGTGTCAAAATGTTGCAAAAAAAGTACCGGTTTTAAAACGTTTTTGTCCCCACTCAGGTGCTATTTGAAAAAACTAGGTTATCCTAAAAAATTAATAGTTCATTATATTAAATGCTATTTGCCGTTGGACCAGCAAATTTTTCCCATGATCAGGTGACCCGGTAAATAATTTTTATGATGGTTTCAGCCTCCTTGACACAATTTTCACAAATTAAATAAAAATTTAGGGGAAAAGGAAAAGAAACAATGTTCGGAATTATACAGGCACGTACCTGGGCCAAAGTAGCGACGGTGAGGCCGAAAGTGAGGGCGATCTGGACGACGGTGGGGGTACCGATGCAGGAACCCGTACCGACCGCCACCAGGACGAGGGTACCCAAAAATTCGGCGACTAGCATACGCCATATCGATTTGTTTTCGGTTATCTCGGATATGCCGAGGATGCTGTCCGCGCGTTTCGCTGCAACACAGAGGAAGGGAAGGAATAATTTAAAACCGAATTAATTCTTCTTCTGACTTATTATTTTAACAACTTTTGGTAACAATTCTTTACTTATTGGTTTGGGTTTTAATTCCTCTACAAAAATTTCAGCAATCGTAATATACTAATGACCATGATGATGATTAATACTTTATTTTTCAACCATAATTTTGAACGCCGTATAATAAATTTACAAACTTTTAGTTTTAGTTTTTAGCTAGTATCAAGATCAAATACATATAAATCGTCATTAAACTTTATTGTTTTTTCCTGGTTTCGAAGTATGGTATGAATTAAATGAATGAATGAACGTTTTTGTTTGTTTGTTTGTTTATTTGCAGATGCACCAATTTTGCCCTGTTGTTCTCGCAAATTAAATACTTGTTCATCATTTAAATCATCCTGTTTTTCACAGATTTTCCTGAATACCGAGGTCAATTTTTTAATTTAAACTTTTTTTTTAGAACGATATCGTAAAACAATTTAGGGAACATGTGTTTACGGACTTTTTGTTAATAAAAAATGATTTCCTATTAACTAATAATCAGATTTTTCCATTCGAGTATATTAGCTTAAAATTTTCCTTGCAAATGCCAAATAGATTTACATTTTGTGATTTGATATTCGAGATAATGCTATGCTAGTCGTATATTTTGTATGATTTAAATGCCAATAAAGTTTAAAAACTATGAACGAAAATGTAATGAACAATCTCGTTGTTTCTCGTTGTTAAATTTATTACTTTTTTTATTGCGTTATGACGTTGGGGAAATTATTATTAAAAACAATAAAACAAACCGCGCTGTGGAACAAAAAACAGCAATCAAAATTTCAGCAAAATAAGCATTTGAAAAGCTTCTTTTGAAAGGTGGTGGTAATCTAAAACCACAAAATACAGTATAAATGTATATCAACACAATGCGTATGTTATTTACAATAGAGCTATCCGAAGCAATTTGAAACACTTATTCTTTAGAAAATCTCGTGTTAATAGCAGTATCAACATAAATCACGCATGCCCCTATTTCAAATTTTACCTTCGAAATAGTTTAATTATTAATCGTTATATGATTACAGGATATCTGATTAAGTCAAATGTTTTTTACTAGCGGGGACACACGGAAAAGCATGAAAACAATTGTCCGAAAAACAAACTTAAACTTGAATCATTTCAGCTTAAAAATAATAAATAAATACAAAAAAAACATAAATAACATACATAGATCTACAAAATTAAACTTTTTCACAGATCTTTTTATTTTGAAAATTGATTTTATGTAATTCTGAGTTCAAAAGTATTCTATGCATTTTTGAGTGAAATCTTCGTCTTTTTGTCAGAAAGCTGCATTGTGCGGACATTCGGCTGCGAGTTTTTAAATGCACAAAATACAACCTAGACGATTCTTCTTTCTTTTCTTTCCTTTTTCTTCTTCTTTTTTTCCTTCTTTCTTTCTTTCTTTTTAAAAATCCTTGCCTTTGCACAATGTTCTAATTTGCGGTCCAACAAAAATACCTTCTTTTATCTTGACACCAGATATGGCTGGAAATTTCTCGCACAGATATTTAAAACACTGTCCATTTTTGTCTAAGGCTTTAATAAACTGCTTGATCAAGCCAAGTTTGATATGATAACGAGTTAGTAAATCTTTTTGGAGTCACAGCTATGTTTTAATACATTTCTGCTAGTAGGCTTGTTCTAGAGCACCATTCTATTTGTCTATCTCTTGCCATATTTATACATTTTAGAACACTAGAAATATACAACAACTAAAACAATAGCCGCGAACACAAACTGCGCATAAGCAGTTTAAAACGCTGTATTGATGCTTCTGCGCCAACTCTGTTGCTTTGCACAGAAATCTAATATTATCCGGTGTTGCCAAATCACATTTAATTTCATAAGAATAAATTCATTTAAAAATCATGCCTAGCATGGAACCAACATATTGACGTTATAGCTATGTATATTAATAAAATATATTATCATCATCATATATTAATAAATTATAAATAATTTTTTTTGGAAAAAGGGGCCCCAAAAATAAACAAATGAGCAAACAGCTTTTAAACATCAAAATCACTGCAGACCTGCGTCAATTTTCAATAAATTTAGTATTTGCTTAAATAACGCTAAAAGGATAACGAAAAAATCACACTTACTGTAAAAAAAAACAATTTTCATTTATTACAGCGAAAAGAAAGGTAAAACCGAAATAAACAAACCAAAGGATACTGGCCACGTGCGAACTGACAATTCCAAAACACTTCGAACTTTTTTTCAGAATTAATAGAATTAGAATGGAATTAACAGAAATGTTCGGAATGAAACCAAAACTAATCTTGCGACAGTCCGCTAATAAAACAAAAACCATTTTCGGACAACTTTTTTTGCTTGAGTTTTTTTTGGTCCAAGGCAGTTTTTGCGAATACGGCGGCCCGAACGATCGAAAGGTCGTGGAAAAAGGAAAACGTAAAATGTTTAATTCAAAACGACCGCTTTCCGAAGTATGTGCTTCAAATTCTTTAAAAAAAAAAAGAAATTTTTTTGGTGTTCACCGTCCTAACTTGTAATAATTGAATAACAATTAATTGTCGAAATTTAATCGTCTACCTTTTTAAAATTAAATTTAAAATGAATATTTTGCGATGTTTCGATAGCACGAGAGGCGCGAATCGATTAAAGCAACGCGAAATTGTTAATTTGCGTAAATAACGAGCGTGCCGTTTATTGGATTCGAAACCGTCGAAGCGTATAATAAGAACTGTCTGTCCGCATTTGAATTCCGATTAAATAATATTAATCGAGTCGGGTACATAGCGACGACACGGTTCGGTGCTGCCCGACGGGAAATTGTTTTCCTAGCGAGGAAGATCGCGCGTCCGCCGTAACACCTTTGACCGTGTCCGCCGAATCAAAGAGTCCGACGCTTTGGTTACGTCACGCGCGACCTTGAACTTAAATTTGACGCGAACACCTGGCCCGACGAATCCTCCGAATACGTCAGAGGACCCGAAACCCATCTTGGCAACCTTCTTCGTCTTTTTTTTTGTTCCAATTTTTACGGGGTATCTCACAACTGAGCCGAATATATTAAAGCCTCAGGTGATAGAAGCCATACAACATCTGAAGACAAATAAGTCATCAGGAGTAGATCACATAAATGCTGAAATACTAAAGACACTGGAGGAACCGGGGGATAGCCAAGATCTGGCACACGAAGTCATGGCCAGACTGCATTAAGTCAACCTCACCACGAGACACGGGAAAAAATTTTTAATATTAGACGAGTAATAGAAAAATTAAGAGAATTTAATTCCCCTATGCTACTCTGCTTTATTGAAATGCTTGTGGCGAATACTAAGAGAAATAGGAGTAGCGAATCACCTAATAACTCTAATTAAGAACCTATACGAATCAAGTGAAACCATAGTGCGAATAGATAACCACTCGTCACAGACTTTCAATATACAAAAGGGGGTGCGACAAGGATGCATATTGTCACCCAGGCTTGTTAACGGCTACGGCGAACACATAATGAGAAACGCCCTAGACGATTTCGAGGGAGGAGTATCAATAGGTAGTAAAAAACTGACAAAAATAAGATATGCAGACGATAAAACGATGCTGGCGAAAGATGAGGCCGACATGATGATGATGTTGAACAGAGTGGATAGTTGAAGTGCTAGGATGGGTCTGGAAATAAATCTCAGCAAGACTCAGCTCATGCTGATTGACAGAGCGGGAATACTTTCACGTCCGAACCTCACAAACATAGAAAATGTAGATGAATTTGTGTACCTGGGATGTCTAATACGTAACCAGGGCGGTTCCGAACAGGAAATAAAAAGACGAATAGCAATGGTACGAGGGGCCATGAGCAACCTCACCAGAATATGGAAAGATCGACAAATCACAAGAAACACCAAAAAATATGCTGGTTAAATCCGGTGTATTCTCAATATTTCTGTACGTAGCGGAATCCTGGACCATGAAAACACCAGACATACGAAAGAGATGTGGTGTTGGCGAAGTATTTCATGGACTGAGAAACGCACCAATGAATCTATACTAAGCGAGCTGAAGAATTTTAAAATACTTTGGACACACCACAAGACGACAGCTGACAACCTGGAGAAACTGATAGTACAGGGAAAGGTGGAAGCAAAACGACCAAGAGGCAGGTCACCTGTAAAATCGATAGACCAAGTAAAGAAAATCACGAATACGCTGCTGCAAGATTTACTATCGGAAGCAATGGATAGACAAACATGGAGTTGATGGATGTACACGATTCCGTGAGATCAAGATTTCTCAGACATGAGAATACGACTAAGAAGATCTCACACTCACTCAAAGACCAGAAAGATGTGGTTTATGGTGGCCCGTATTATTATAGATAAAGTCCGATAACTTGTTGACATGACCCAGTATATCGAAACGACCACTGAATTCTGAGCATAATTATAATTTTTCGATTAAGTAGTTAATAAATCCAAAAATTTCCAAATATAAATATCATCATATCCCATTTCTAATCTAATTTTTATCAAACACAAATTAGTTTGCTTTTAGGTCAGCTTTTTCCCACAATTTTATCGCCCTCAATCATAGCAACTTTGCACTTTTTAAAAAAGCTCCACGATCCCTCTACAGTGCGTCCCACTTAAGAACCATATTGTACACAGTATACATTTTTTTGTTGGATAGACCTCTGAAAAATGAATAAAATCTTGTTTTGGTTAGTTCATTCTTACTCATTGGAACTTAGAACCCAACTATACCGATTTTAATAATATTTCAATACAGGGTGTTTGAAATATATTTTGCGCCTCGCTTAAGGCTGTTCATCTTTATGTTTTTTATTAAGTCAACCTGAAGTCACGGCTAACTGGGACTATGAGAATGATATGATGACTATAATGAAAATAACAAAAATATCAAAAAATTGAATGACGTCAGCATATTGTAAAACGAAGTT